AAAAAGAAAAAAAAAAAAACAGGACTAAGGTGAAGTCACTTGTTCCCCCAGACAGCGAACTAAGACTTATTTTGCAGGAGTGGAATTTTAAACCTATCAGCCTGCATTTCCCTGGTCAGCACTAGAGAGGAAATCTGCCCTATAGGACTCCTTGCCTTCTCCTAAGACAAAGTAACCTGGCCTGAAATAACCTTTTCTTTTCTCTTCTTTCTTTCCACGTTCCTTTTCTTTTTTTCTTCTTTCGTTTCTTTCTTTTTTCTAATAACCTTCTTGTATGGACCCTTTGGAGCAGCTCCTGGGAGCTCCCTCCTATTTACTAGGGCTGCTGCTCAATTCATGAATCCTTAAATAAGGCCAATTAGATCTTTGCATTTACTTGAATTATTATTTAACACAATTCTTTTTTTTTTTGATGTTTACTCTCGCCACTTTTATTTTTTTTTAATTTTATAAATTAATTTTATTGGTGTTCAATTTACCAACATACAGAATAACACCCAGTGCTCATCCCGTCAAGTGTACCCCTCAGTGCCCGTCACCCATTCACCCCCACCCCCCGCCCTCCTCCCCCTCCACCACCCCTAGTTCATTTCCCAGAGTTAGGAGTCTTTATGTTCTGTCTCCCTTTCTGATATTTCTCACACATTTCTTCTCCCTTCCCTTATATTCCCTTTCACTATTATTCATATTCCCCAAATGAATGAGAACATACACTGTTTGTCCTTCTCCGGTTACTGTGGCCAAGTTCAAAAAGGGTGTTGCCTGAGTTCTCCTCTGGGATTTTGATGGAATCTTGTCTCACATTTAGATCTTTCATCTATTTTGAGTTTATCTTTGTGTATGGTGCAAGAGAGTGGTCCAGTTTCATTCTTCTGCATGTGGATGTCCAATTTTCCCAGCACCATTTATTGAAGAGACTGTCTTTCTTCCAGTGGATCGTCTTTCCTCCTTTATCGTATATTAGTTGACCATAAAGTTCAGGGTCCACTTCTGGGTTCTCTGTTCTGTTCCATTGATCTATATGTCTGTTTTTGTGCCAGTACCACACTGTCTTGATGAACACAGCTTTGTAGTACAACCTGAAATCTGGCATTGTGATGCCCCCAGATATGGTTTTCTTTTTTAAAATTCCCCTGGCTGTTTGGGGTCTTTTCTGATTCCACACAAATCTTAAAATAATTTGTTCTAAGTCTCTGAAGAAAGTCCATGGTATTTTGATAGGGATTGCATTATACGTGTAAATTGCCCTGGGTAACATTGACATTTTCACAATATTAATTCTGCCAATCCATGAGCATGGAATATTTTTCCATCTCTTTGTGTCTTCCTCAATTTCTTTCAGAAGTGTTCTATAGTTTTTAGGGTATATTTTGAGAACCATTTGAATGGTAAATGGTTCTCCAACCTTTTATTTTCAGGTTGTAGGTGTCCTTCTGTCTAAAATGAGTCTCTTGTAGACAGCAAATAGATGGGTCCTGCTTTTTTATCCAGTCTGAAACCCTGCGCCTTTTGATGGGGTCATTAAGCCCATTCACGTTCAGAGTTACTATTAACAGATATGAGTTTAGTGTCATCATGATATCTATTTAGTCCTTGTTTTTGTGGATTGTTCCACTGAACTTCTTCTTAAAGGGGAGTTTTAAGAGTCCCCCTTAAAATTTCTTGCAGAGCTGGTTTGGAGGTCACATATTCTTTCAGTTCCTGCCTGTCTTGGAAGCTCTTTATCTCTCCTTCCATTTTGAATGAGAGCCTTGCTGGATAAAGTATTCTTGGTTGCATGTTCTTCTCATTTAGGACCCTGAATATATCCTGCCAGCCCTTTCTGGCCTGCCACGTCTCTGTGGAGAGGTCTGCTGTTACCCTAATATTCCTCCCCATGAAAGTCAGGGACTTCTTGTCTCTTGCTGCTTTAAGGATCTTCTCTTTATCTTTGGAATTTGCAAGCTTCACTATTAGATGTCGAGGTGTTGAACGGTTTTTATTGATTTTAGGGGGGGATCTCTCTATTTCCTGGATCTGAATGCCTGTTTCCCTTCCCAGATTGGGAAAGTTTTCAGCTAGGATTTGTTCAAATACATATTCTGGCCCTCTGTCCCTTTCGGCGCCCTCGGGAACCCCAATTAAACGTAGGTTTTTCTTCCTTAGAGTGTCATTTATTTCCCTTAATCTGTCTTCATGGTCCCTTAATTGATTGTCTCTTTTTTCCTCAGTTTCCCTCTTTGCCATTAACTTGTCTTCTATGTCACTCACTCGTTCTTCCACCTCGTTAACCCTCGTCGTTAGGACTTCTAGTTTGGATTGCATCTCATTCAATTGATGTTTAATTTCTGCCTGATTGGATCTAAATTCTGCAGTCATGAAGTCTCGTGAGTCCTTAATGCTTTTTTCTAGAGCCACCAGTAGCTGTAGAATAGTGCTTCTGAATTGGCTTTCTGACATTGAAGTGTAATCCAGATTTTGTAACTCTGTGGGAGAGAGGGCTGTTTCTGATTCTTTCTTTTGAGGTGAGGTTTTCCTTCTAGTCATTTTGCTCAGTGCAGAGTGGCCAAAAACAAGTTGTATTGGAACACGGGGGAGTATCACTGGTCCGTCTAGCTGGTCTTCTGGGGGAGGGGCCTGCTGTGCTGATTTTCAGGTGTTAGCACTTGGGGGAGCTGCTCTGCCCCTGCCTGCTGCCGGGCTCAGCGGGGGTTGTTTACCCCGTTGGGCCCCAGGAGGAACAGCCGCAGTTGCTATGGCAGCTCTGGAAGCCTGGATTTAGCCTCCGCAGGAACTACGGGGCTCGGGGCTCTCGGTTCTCCGTCTGCAGGGCCTGGAGGCTCCGGGGCGGGGCCGCTGATCTGCTCAGCTCGGGGCAGGAGCGTCCTTGCTGTCCTGGGCCCTCCCGGCCTCTGCCTGTCCCGGGGAGGCTGGATCCTGGGCTGTGTCCCGGCGCCCTGTGCTCCGGGGCCTGCGCTGGTGGATTCGCGCTCCCGCCCTGCAGCTCCCTCCCTGGAGCCGCTCCCGAGCCCCTCCGAGCTGCTCCGGCCCCGCCGTGCGTGCTGCAGCCCTTAGGGAGCTCGGAGATGCGCTCGCAGGTGTCTGTTAGTGTCCCCGGGAGCCCGAGGGCATCCCCGCCCTCCTGGGTCCTGCTCCAACTCCCTGCGAGCCCCTTTCCGCCCGGGAAGGTTGGTGCAGCTCCTGCTCCTCCGGGACGGGGCTCTCCTGTCCTGGGGACACTCGCCCCGGCCTCAGCCCGGCTCCTCGCGGGGCCCCTCCCCCTCGGAGGCCTTTTGTTCCTTTATTTCTTTTTCCCCGTCTTCCTACCTTGATAGAAGCGCGAACTCTTCTCACTGTAGCATTCCAGCTGGTCTCTCTTTACATCTCAGGCCGAATTCGTAAATTTTCAGGATGGTTTGAAGGTTATCTAGGTAATTTGGTGGGGACAGGTGATTTGGGGACCCTGCTCTTCCGCCATCTTGCCCCTCCCCCCCACAATTCTTTTTTAAAAAAGGAAATTCAAGATAGTTCTCTTTGAGCATAATCAATGTTCGTATCAACTTTTTGTATATTCTTAGCATACTGGAATAAATATAGCTCATGCCACAAAACAGAAGAGCCCTTCTGTGCCTTGTGGAATAAAGGAGGCAGAGGAGGCAAACACATTCCGCCTACCTCTGTTCCCTCCCCTCCCCAGAAGACACACAGCGTGGACAGCTTGGACACTCACGATTGAAACTTCCTACCTACCTACCTCCCTTCCCACAATTTATTCTGTATGTTAATATAACGGTTCAGTTGTCATTAGCACGCCTTTACTATTCCCTGGGATTCCCGTCCAAGCAAATCGCCTGACTGTTCATCACAGGAACTTCCACAAGTTCCATCAACTTCTATCAACTCTTCAATTTCTCCGAAAGAAAGCAGCAACAGTTGGCACCTAAAAACCCTCGCTGTTACCCCCAATCCTGGTCCTTAGTACCACGATCCTTACGCAAACCTAATCAAGTCCGTCGCATTGAAACAAAACTTGCCCTTCTCCATGAATTCCAACCCTGATTTCGTGGCCGTGCCAAGGTGTTGTGTGTGTGTCTGTTGCAGTGGTGTCCTCACCGCGATCAGCCATAAACTCCGTTTATTATCGACGGTTGCACTGGGGATACCAGAGGGGCCGACATTCGATGCAGGTTTGAGATCCAATGTTTCCTAAGTTCAGCGTTAGCCCGTTCAGCCCAAGTCACATTTACGTTTCCCATATTGAGCCTATCCCTTGCTCCCGCTAAAAATGTTGGTTAACTTCATAGTGCAAACTTCGTCTCTCTCTCTCTCTCTCTCTCTCTCTTTTTAAGATTTTATTTATGATAGAGAGAGAGAGAGGCAGAGACAGGCAGAGGGAGAAGCAGGCTCCATGCAGGTAGCCTGACGTGGGACTCGATCCTGGTTTCCAGGATCACGCCCTGGGCTGAAGGCAGGCGCTAAACCGCTGAGCCACCCAAGGATCCCCCGTTTTTCTCTTTTATACAACCGAACTTTTTCAATTCGTAATTGCTTTCTCATGAGCTTCAAGAAATGTATAAAACAAAAAGAAATCTGGGATCCCTGGGTGGCGCAGCGGTTTGGCGCCTGCCTTTGGCCCAGGGCGCGATCCTGGAGACCCCGGATCGAATCCCACGTCGGGCTCCCGGTGTATGGAGCCTGCTTCTCCCTCTGCCTGTGTCTCTGCCTCTCTCTCTCTCACTGTGTGCCTATCATAAATAAATAAAACAAAAAAATTAAAAAAAAAAAAAAAAGAAATTTCTAAAAAAAAAAAAAAAAAAAAAAAAAAAACAAAAAGAAATCTGACAGCTGCAGCGCCAGAGCAACTGCTCAAACCGAAGCCACCTTCGCCCAGAACAAGAGCAAGCCGGTAGGAAGCGCGATCCCGCGACCTGCATTCTGGGAAACGTAGTCCAGCAGGTGCGCGAAACCCGAGGCGCTTCCCCTTGGGCACTCTGGGAAGTGTAGTCCAGGAGCCCGGTAGAGTGCGGGGCACTTCCGCTCCAGGAAGGCGAGGTCGGGGCCGAGGTTGCTGGCCGTGAGGTGAGTACACCCCGTGTCGCTGCGGTCCCTCCGAGCCTTCTCGGTCTCGGCGTGGGGCCAGCAGCCAGCCGGACCCCGGTCCTGGGGAAGGGGAGCCGCGGCCGGCGGCGGCGGAGGGCGGGGACGGAGGCGGCGGCGGCACAGTGCCGCTGCCCGGCGGAGCCTCCGCGTCGGGGCGGGCGCGCGTGGCCAGCGGAGTTTGAAGGTCTCCAGCGCTCTCGGCGCCCCCGGCCCCCAACCCCCGGCCCGGCCCTGCCGCCGGCGCCGCGTCCGCCTTGCGGGGAAACATTGCGCGAGCCACTTAGCATCCCCTTGCCTCGGTTTCCTCGTGCCTAAAAAGCGTTAGTGCCTTCCCGGCGGTGCTTGGAGAATTCAACGAGATCAGCTGGGAAGGCTGCAGATCGGTGCCTCGCGCCGTGTGGGATGGCACCGCGCGTGCTGTCCCCGTAACTCGGGGCCCCTGCGGTGGGGAAGCTCGCGAGAGCCCCTGAGAGCCCCCGCTGCACGCAGCGCCGCCGGCCGGTCGCCCAGCTCTGCCGCGGGGCCGGTCCTGGATTCCTGGTCTCTCCCGCGACACTTGTTGAGGAAGGAGAGTTCTCCTTAGCCGGACCCTGGCGAAGTTCTTGGGGGCTTATCCCAGAGAAACGGCCGCGGCTTCGCGGAGTGCCCGCGGCGTGGCGCGTCCCCGACTGTTCACAGCTGCGTGCCGTTCGTTCAAATGCAACAGGACTTCTTAGTCTGCGGTTTTTGTTATTCTTTGCCTCCGTGCATACGGGAGAAACTTGGTGGAGGCTCTTCCGGCTTAATGACAAGCTCCAGTAATTACACATCTTAAAAATGGTGTTCAGTGCGGGACGGAGTAGGGGGGAAATCATGGCAGTTTATCGTTAGCAGGAGAATGAATCCTCCAATGATCTGTGGGACAACCAGCGAGAAGGACTTTCCTTAGGGTGAGGATGACTCACAGCCCAGAGCATTCAGCTCTGAATTCTAGGCTTCTTAAAACCTTCACTTTCCGGAGAGCACATCTGCAAGGGAGGTTTTGTGAAGCATAATAGCATCTGCTTGTGTGGCTCCGCAGGAAATGGGGGAATAGTGGCATTATGATGATCCCCATTTACAGGTGACTGGATTGAGGCACAGGAAGAGTAATAACTCGCTCAAGGTTTACCCTGCTAGTAAATAGAAGGCGATAAGGAGAAATGCAGAATTTGAACCCAGGCACTTTGGTCCCAGTAAGTTATATTGCCTGTATGCCTCTCATTTCCTCTCATACCCAGGCTGGGGAATACTCTGGAAGCTGCCAGAAGCACTTAGATTAGGGACTGTTCATGAACTCACACAGTTGATTGAGGGGGAAGCTGGAATCCAGCCGCGGGTCTGAGTTCTGCTGGGGAAAGAGACACCTCTTCCTGTTGGCACAAAGTGCCACGTAGACTAGCAGCTCTCTCATGATGGCTTTCCCTTCCACAGTTTTGCCTTCCCAAACTCTGCCCTTCCCCAGGAGAAGGAGAAAAATGACCAAGTTCCAGGTAAGTTGGGTTTGCCTTTCTGTTCCTTAAAATGACATGTCATAAAGACTGGATGCGGGGATCCCTGGGTGGCGCAGCGGTTTGGCGCCTGCCTTTGACCCAGGGCGCGATCCTGGGGACCCGGGATCGAATCCCACATCGGGCTCCTGATGCATGGAGCCTGCTTCTCCCTCTGCCTGTGTCTCTGCCTCTCTCTCTCTCTCTCTGTGACTATCATAAATTTAAAAAAAAAAAAAGGAAGACTGGATGCATTTTTCCCCTGCTTGGGAAGGGTACAAGGGAACCCAAGGCACATAATTGTTGTATACCAGGCTCTTGCGCTTTGTTTCCAAACAATTGTGTGAAAGTTAATAGACATTTTTTTAAAAATGACTTCCGTATTACAGACATGTTTACAAATCAGTTTTAATTGGTCCCACATTCTTTCTCATTTGCATTGACATGCCTAGATTTGTAATCATAGTTTAAGTATCATTTTGGATTTTGCAAGTGTAATTTTTTGTTACCTACACTTTAAATAGTCATATCATTTCCCATAATTTACCTACTGCTTTACTCCATTCTTCATTTACAGGTGGGTTTTACCATTTTAAAGATGTTTGCAGTAACAGTTTTCTTACATATAATCTTTCTTTCCATACGGAAATTCTTGAGATTTAAGTCATTTTTTTTTTCTCTTTGAAGTTTTAGGGACTCCATTGTTTTCTCACAAGAGGTGCCTCCCATTTTGTGATAAGACTGTCTAAAGTATGATTTGGTACAGCAGAATCCATCTCAGACTGAACTCTGAAAATAATTTTAGTTGTTTTCAAACAAGAAAAGCTAGATTTGGAGCGTGCCTGGCCAGCTCAGTCTGTTGAGTGTGTGAATCTTGATCTCAGGGTCCTGAATTCAAGCCGCACTTTGGCTGTAGAGCTTATTTAAAAATAAATAAATATTTTAAAATAATAATAAAGAGCTAAATTCTTTTTTTTTTAAGATTTTATTTATCTATTCATAAAGACACAGAGAGAGAGGCAGGCAGAGACACAGGCAGAGGGAGAAGCAGGCTCCATGCAGGGAGCCTGAGGTGGGACTCTATCCCGGGTCTCCAGGATCACACCCCTGGCTGCAGGGGGCGCTAAACCAAACCACTGTGCCACCGGGGCTGCCCTAGATTCTCTTTTTTATTCTAAGTTAAACCATGTGTGTATTATAGTTGAATGTTTGTTTTATTCATTAACATGTTAACATGTCTTAAAAAATACATATTTAATTTTAAAAATCTTTAGCACTGGGGCGCCTGGGTGGTTCAGAGATTGAGCCTCTATCTTTGGTTCAGGTCGTGATCCTGGGGTCCTGGGATCAAGTCCCACATCAGGCTCACTGTGGAGAATCTGCTTTTCCCTCTGCCCATGTCTCTGCCTCTCATGAATAAATAAGTAAAATCTTTAAAAAATAAAAATCTTTAGCACTAGGCATTTGCCAGGCATTTAACTCTGTGGAACAGCTGTGTGAGGATGTAGATGGTCTTAACTGCATTTTAACATGAAAAAACCTTGTGAACCTTCAGATACCTACTGAAATCTACTCAGTGCCCAGGGACACTAACGTTCCCATCGCCTAAGCTGGGAGTTTCAGGTGTTCAATGAGAGTAAATGGAAAGACCCAGAAGAAAAGAGACTTCTCTATTCAGGAACCTGAAGCCAAGCTTCATGTGTGCTGGCATGTCTGGTAGACAGAGGACTCCAAAAATAATATTGTCCTCACCTTATTCCTTTTCTCAGTGGCTGTCTCTTCTTTTCAGATGTCTTAACTAGTTGTTTAGTATATAGATGCTCAGAACTCAAGCTAAAGTTGAGATAATTTTTATTTCCATACAGAAAAATTTGTGAGACATATAGGAAACAGGAGTCGGGGTTAGGGGTTGGGGGGTGAAGGTGGGAATCTATACATACTAGGAAAAAGGCTTAATACTCTCAATAGGAATTTTACTGATCCATAAGATACTCCAGCAGGATTATGAATGAAGGAAATGAACAAGTAATATAAAAAAAATCAAAAGATGTTTTTTATTATTTGAATATAGTTGACGGTATGTTGAAAGACAATCTTTTAGGGATGCCTGGGTGAGCTCAGCAGTTGAGCATTTGCCTTTAACTCAGGGCGTGATCCTACATCAGGGATTGAGTCTCACATCAGGCTTCCTGCATGGAACTTGCTTCTCCCTCTGCCTATGTCTCTGCCTCTAGAATGAATGAATAAATGAATGAATGAATAAATAAATATCTTTTTTTAAAAAGACAATCGTTTAAAAAAATTAAATAAGTGGAGGGGCGCCTGGGTGGCTCCGATGGTTGAGTGTCTGATTCTTGGTTTTGGTTCAGGTCATGATCTCAGGGTTGTAAGATTGAGCCCTAAGTCAGGCTTCATACTCAGCACTGAGTCTCCTTGAGATCCTCTCCCTCTGCCCCTCCCCCAGATCACTCTTTCTCTCCCTCTCTCTCAAATAAAATCTTTTTTAAAAATTAAAAAAAAAATTAAGTGGAAATTTTTTTAGGAGTTGTTTTTATCACTTAACCAAATTACCCAACATTTAAAAAATAAGATAATGTCCAATTTTGGTCAGAATATAGAGAATCAGGGATACTTCTAATCTCTTACAGGAAGAGTTAATTGGGAAAATTGTCATTATATTAGCAAAATAAAGGTGCATATTTTTCAACAGGCAATTGCCATTTCTTAGAACTTATCCTAGGGAAGTAACAAGACAGTTGGCAGAGATCTATATAAAAATGTTTTCTGCAGCATTTAATAGTTAAAAAAATTTATTGTGTTGTTTAATTACTTGGAATCATTAAATATATCCTAGATCACCATTTTTATGGACTACTATGCAGCCAGGAATAATGATGATAACAGTAATAGCAATGGCTGACATTTGTTGAGTACTTAATATGTGTCAGATGCTGCCCTAAGTCCTTTAGTCTCATTTGAGCCCTTCAAGTGCCTTATGTGGTACTATTGCACAGGTAAGGACATTGAAGTATTGAGAAGTTAGGTGACTTGACCAGGGTCCCAAAGCCAATCATGGACAGAGTCTTAGAGGCATTTGGTTTCCAGAACATACGTTCTTAACCTCGACACTGATTGTTGCTGCAATTGACAGGTGGGGCATCCTGCTGAGAACACAGGTCCCTGCCCTGGAGGGGTGCTAACGGCCTGTTCGATGGGCACATGCTGATGACGGAGTAAAGGAGGGGGCACTATTCGATGCTGTTGGGATGAATTAACTCAAAATTTCTTACAAAATTTGGCTGTATTGGTCAAATTGTAAAATATGTGTATGCCATGATTTGACAATGACAGTTCTAGGGACTTAACTACATAAGGGCACCATGGAGGCACCTGGGTGGCTTAATCTGTTAAGTGCCTTTGGGTCAGGTCATGATCCCAGGGTCATGGGATGGAGCCCCTTGTCGGGCTCCCTGATCAGTGAGGAGTCTGCTTCTCCCTCTTGCTCTGCTGCTCCCCCTGCTTATGCTCAGTCAAATAAATAAATATTTTTTTTTAATTAAAAAAATATAAAGGGCGCCATGTTACATGTACAGAAGTGTTTTTCTTCTCTTTCCTTCTCCCTCTGCATTCCTCACATTTTTGGTGTGATTGTGGAAAGGGAAGAGGAGAAGCTGTTACTAAGAAGAGTTGCTTAGATCCCTCAGAATGGGGAACCACTTTCCACATACTCCCTCTGCTGCCTCAGTGCTACCCCACTGCCAGTGGCCCGGTGGGTGCAGGATTGAGGTGTGTGTGCTTGGTGTTGTAGGAGGCGGTGACATTCAAGGATGTGGCTGTGGTCTTCAGTGAGGAGGAGCTGGGGCTGCTGGACCCCACCCAGAGGAGGCTGTACCGAGATGTGATGCTGGAGAACTTCAGGAACCTGGTCTCTGTGGGTGAGGACAGGATGTTTCTGTAACTCATCCCCTCAAGCAGGGTTTCTTAACCTTGGCACTCTTGACCTTGAGGGGCAGATAATTCTGTGTTATGAGGACTGTCCTCTGCATATTAGTATGTTCAGTGGCACCAGTGGCCTCTGCCCACTAGTTCAAGGCATCAGGACTTCTCAGATATCAGAGTTTTCAAATCCCTTTGGAGCACGGAGACCAGACGTTTCTAGTCTTTGCTCCAAGGTAGATGTTATCTCATGTAAATGAACTATAGATGAACCGTTAAGCTTGTCTCCACCTGGCTCGATAGCTTGTAGATCATGGCCCATTGGTGGGTCAGGAATTTAATTTAGTAAATTGAGTCATCAGTCTTGTAGAAGACTTGGAGAACAGAGGAACAGTATCAGGGCTCCTTAGAATGGTGCACATAGGTGCACATGGCAGCAGTAACTGCAGGCTGTTTACAGTGAGGGGTCTCAGACTGGGAAGGATATAATAAAAACAGACTTTGGTTAGAAACAGTTCATTTGAGGGGCATCTGGGGGCCTCAGTTGGATAAGCATCTGACTCTGGTTTCAGCTCAGGTCATGATCTCAGGGTTGGAAGACTGAGCCCCGCCATCAGACTCTGCACTTGGCAGGAGTCTGCATGAGTTTCTCTCTCCCTCTGTCTCTCCTCTCACCTCATCTTAAAAGAATAAGAAACAGTTCATTTGATCATTTATTTCAAGAATTTGTGTGGTAGTAATGTATTTCTAATGATACCAAGTGTATTTACTATGGGTGGTGATAGGAAAGTGTTTGATAAACACTGCTTTGGGCAAGGGCATAGTACATTATGGGATCGGAACGAAAATTTTCCAGTACTTTTGCCCTTAATGTTTTTCACTTTTTATCTTTTTGTAGGGCATTCATCCTCCAAACCAGATGTGATATCCCAATTGGAGAGAGAGGAAAAGCTTTGCACAAAGGAGTTCCATACTCAAGGAGGTAGGCACTCGGCTAAGAATCATGCAGCTGGGGTCCTTGTAGGTGGCAGTGTCGTTGTTCTGCCTCTGTTCTGGATAACCTTCATGCAGCAGCTAGAGAGACCCTTTGAAAACATTAATCACATCATGTCTCTCCTCTGCTTCAAATCCTCCATAGTCTTCTCCCTTCACTCAGAATCAAACCAGAAGTGTTAGGGGCAGCTGAGTGGCTCTTAAGTGTCCGACTTATGTTTGGACTCCAGTCATAATCTCAGGGTCATGAGCTCGAGCCCCCATGCCTGGCTTTGTGCTCAGTGTGGAATCTACTTGAGAGTCTCTCTCCCCCTCTGCCCCTGCCTGTGTTCTCCCTCTCAAATGAAACAAAACAAAACAACAAAATCAAGAAAATCCCAAAGTATTCAAGGGGGCTGGAAGGCCCTATGGTATGTGCTCATTCCCCCAGCTTAATGGTTTTTTGTTTTTTAATTTTTATTTATTTATGATAGTCACACAGAGAGAAAGAGAGAGAGGCAGAGACATAGGCAGAGGGAGAAGCAGGCTCCATGCACCGGGAGCCCGACGTGGGATTCAATTCCGGGTCTCCAGGATCGCGCCCTGGGCCAAAGGCAGGCGCCAAACCACTGCGCCACCCAGGGATCCCTACAATCGGTTTTTGACATCAACCTTGTAGTCTGCAGTCTTCCCATGTTGGTATATTCTAGAAACATTTTAGTACCCTTTTTATACATTCCTATAGACTTTCTGTGTAGAAAATTATGATCTACAAATGTGTATTCTTTCCAGTATGAATGCCTTTGGGTTTTTTGATGGTTTGTTTGCCTGATGCGTGTGCACAGCATTCAGTCTTTTACCACTGATAATGATACTAGTCATAGGCTTTTTTGGGGGGTTGAGTTCCCGTCTTAGTTTCAGTTTCTTTATCATGAATGGGTAACAGTATATGTATGTACATATTTTGTAAAATGCTTAGTCTGCATTTACTGAGATGATTATAAGATTTTTTTCCTTCATGCTGTGAATATGGTAAAATGCATTGGTGATTTCACATGTTAAAACAAGCTTGCATTCCCTTCTATTAAAAAACAAAATTTAGCTGACTAAATTTTAAAGATTTTACTGGCTTTATTCAGTGATTCATAAATCAGGCAACATCATTACAGCAGATAGAAAAGCTCCCAGAGATCCATATAAAAGATTTCGACAGCAGAATGGAACAGGAGCAAGGCAATTATAGGAGGCAAAGAAGTAGGTTGGTTATTGCAGGGTTACCTTCCTTTAAGAGGATACAGGGGTACCTACTACAGCTGACCTGGGGATTCCTGATTGATTGGTTTAAGATCCCATTTCTGGGTGAGCCAAAATTGTAATTAAGTCTTGGTTTGGTGGCATGGGGTGTAGCATAAGCAACTCCATTTGGGTCCTCTTGTCTTGTTTTTATTTTTATTATTTTTTTTAAAGATGTATTTATTTGAGAGACACAGAGACATAGGCAGAGGGAGAAGCAGGCTCCCTGTGGGGAGCTGGATGTGGGACTTGATCCCAGGACCCTGGGATCACATAGGTGCTCAACCACTGAGCCAACCAGGTGCCCCTGTTTTTAACACTGGGATTAACCCCACTTATTCATGATGTGCTAGTGTTTTTTTTATTATGTTTCTAGAAACAAGATTTATTCTTTGTTAAGGATTTTTGCACTTTATGTTGAGGGGTTTTGATTTGCCATTTTCTTGAGACTTGATGTCTTTGATTTTGATATCAAGTAACACTGGCCTTATACAATAACTCAAATATACCATCCTCTTATATTTTCTGAAAGGATTCGTATAGGGCTGGTATTACTCCTTTACTGACTGCTAATTGGAATCCACTGGTGAAGTTGGTCTTTTTGTGAGAATGTCTTTATGAATTAAATTTCTGAACTATTTAGATTTTTTGCTTTTCTTGCAACAGATTTGGTAATTTGTATGTTTCAGGGAATTAGTATATTTTTAAAAATTTGAGTTGTTGAATATATCTCATTTTAATGCTTCTAAGATCTATAGTATAATTCTATCTTTCATGCTTAATGTTGAACTTTCCCTACTTGTTTCATTTGACTTTTACTCTGATTTCCTTAATTCCTCTTTTCATGGCTTCTTGAGGTGGAACCTTAGGTTTTTTATTTTACACTTTGTTTTCTGATATAAACTTTTAACACTATAAAATTATCTGAGTTCCGTTTAACTGCACACCAGAAATAGAAATATAATGAATATTATGTCACAAAGTATTTTCTAACTTCCCATGAAATTTCCTGTTTGACATGTGGGTTATGTAGAGTATATTTAATTTTGATATTCTTAAGACTTTTCTGGATATCTTAAGTTTTTTATTTATTTTTTATTTTTTTAAATTTTTATTTATTTATGATAGTTACACAGAGAGAGAGAGAGAGGCAGAGACATAGGCAGAGGGAGAAGCAGGCTCCATGCACTGGGAGCCCGATGTGGGATTCGATCCTGGGTCTCCAGGATCATGCCCTGGGCCAAAGGCAGGCGCCAAACCGCTGCGCCACCCAGGGATCCCTCTTAAGTTTTTTAAAATCTAATTTTTAATTGAAGTATAGTTGACACACAGTGATAGTTTCAGGTAGGCAACATAGTAAATAGACAACTGTATATACATTATGCTACTGTCAGCATACAGCACTGTTACAATACCGTTGATTGTATTACTTATGCTGTACCTCTCATCCCTGTAACTCATTCATCCCACAGTTGGAATCCTGTACTTCGTATTCCCTTCACCTATTTTGCCCGCCATCCCCCTGCCCCCACCAGCAACCACCAGTTCTCTGTTATTTACAGGCCTATTTTTGCTTTGTTCATATGTTTTGATTTTTAGATTCCACCTATAAGTGAAATCAAAAAGTATTTGTCTTTTTTTTTTTTAAGGATTTTATTCATGAGAGACAGAGAGAGAGAGAATGAGAGAGAGAAATGGGCAGAGGGAGAAGCAGGCTCCATGCAGGAAGCCTGATGTGGAACTCCACCCCAGCCCCGGGATCATGACCTGAGTTGAAGGCGAACGCTCAACCGCTGAGCCACCTAGGCGTCCCTTTGACTTATTTCACTCAGCATAATGCCTTCTAGGTCTATCCATGTTGTTGCAAATGGCGGCAAGATCTTACTCTTATGAGTAATATTCCATTGTGTTTATGTCTGTGTGTACACCACCCACATATTTTATCAGTTCATCTGTTGATGGACACTTGGGCTGTTTCCATGTCTTGGGTCTTGTAAATAGTTCTGCAGTAAACATAGAGGTGCATATAGCCTTTTGAATTCGTGTTGCGTTTTTTTTTTTTTTTTGTGGGTTTTTTTGTTTAAGTACCCATTAGTGGAATTACTAGCTTATGTGCTAATTCTATTTTTAATTTTTTGAGAAACCTTCATACTGTTTCCCACAGTGGCTGCAAATTCCCACCAGTAGTGCACAAGTGTTCCTTTTTCTCCACATCTTCACCAACACTTAAAATTTTTTAAATCGTATTTTTATTAATTCAAATTCAGTTAACATATAATGTATTAATTGCAGAGGTAGAGGTCAGTGATTCATCTGATGCCCAGTGCTTGGGATGCCTGTGTGGCTCAGCGGTTTGGCACATGCCTTTGCCCTGGGGCGTGATCCTGGGTCCCGGAATCGAGTATCGCATCGGGCTTCCTGCATGGAGCTTGCTTCTCCCTCTGCGTCTCTGCCTTTCTCTCTCTCTGTCTCTCTCATGAATAAACAAACATAAAAAAAAAAAAAAAGATTTAACACCCAGTGCTCATTACTTCATGCACCCTCCTTAATGTCCACTGCCTAGTTACCCCATGCCCCCAGTTACCTCTTCTCCAGCAACTGTTTCCTGTGATTAGGAGTCTCTTACAGTTTGTCTCCCTCTCTGATTTCGTCTTGTTTTATTTTTTCCTCTCTTCCTCTGTGATCCTCTGTTTTGTTTCTTAAATTCCACATGAGTTAGATCATATGGTAATTGTTTTTCTGTGATTGACTAATTTCACTTAGCATAATACTCTCTAGTTCCATCCATGTCATTGCAAATGGCAAGATTTTTTTTTTTTGATGGTTGAGTATCATACAATATTCCATTGTATATATCCACATCTCCTTTATCAATTCTTCTGTCGATGGGTTCTTTCCATAGTTTGGTTATTGTAGACATTGCTGCTATAAACATTGGGGTGCAGGTGCCTTTCACATCACTACATTTGTATTTTGGGGATAAATACCCAGTAGTGCAATTGCTGGGTCGTAGGGTAGCTCCATTTTCAACTTTGAGGAACCTCCACACTGTTTTCCAAAGTGGCTGTACCAGCCTGCATCCCCACCAACAGCGTACAAGGGTTCCTGTTTCTCCGAATCCTCATCAGCATCTGACGTTTCCTGACTTGTTAATTTTAGCCATTCTGACTGGTGTAAAGTGGTATCTCGAAGTGGTATTTCCCTGATGCCCAGTGATGTTGAGTATTTTTTCATATGTCTGTTGGCCATTTGTATGTCTTCTTTGGAGAAGTGTCTGTTCCTGTGTTCTGCCCATTTCTTGATTGGCTTTTTTTTTCCTTTGGATGTTGAGTTTGATAAGTTCTTTACAGATTTTTGGATACTAGCCCTTTATCTGATAAGATATTTGCAAATATCTTCTCCCATCCTGTTGGTTGTCTTTTGGTTTTGCTGTTTCCTTTGCTGGGCAAATGCTTTTTATTCTGGTGAAGTCCCAATAGTTCATTTTTGCCTTTGCTTCCCTTGCCTTTAGAGACGTGTCTTACAAGAAGTTGCTGCAGCCAAAGAGGTTGCTGCCTGTGTTATCCTCTAGGATTTTGATGGATTCCTGTCTCACATTTAGGTCTTTTATCCATTTTGAGTCTACCCTTGTGTATGCTGTAAAGAAATGGTTCAGTTTCACTCCTCTGCATGTGGCTCCAATTTCCCCAACACACTTGTTGAAGAGACTTTTTTCCATTGAATATTCTTTCCTGCTTTGTCAAAGATTAGTTGACCACATAGTTGAGGGTCCATTTCTGGGTTCTCTATTCTGTTCCACTGAGCTCTGTGTCTGTTTTTGTGCCAGTAACATACTGTCTTGGTGATTACAGTTTTTTTAAAAAGACTTTATTTATTCATGAGAGAGAAGCAGAGGGAGAAGCAGACTCCCTGCAAGAAGCCCGATGCAGGACTTGATCCCAGACCACTGAGCCACCCAGGCGTCCCATGATTACAGCTTTATAATATAGCTTGAAGTCCAGAATTGTGACTCCTCCAGCTTTGATTTTCTTTTTCAGCATTACTTTGGCTGTTTGGGTTCTTTTCTGGTAGGTTTGGTTTTTTGGAGATCTTATTTTCCTTTGTAGGAGTTAGGTTTTGTTGTTTGCCACCAGGAACTAGGCAGCTTCCTCCCAACCTCGTCACACACTCACCAGGAGGGATGGGGCAAGGAAAAACACAAATTTTGCACAGCTTTGAGTACATCTTTTACTTGGTTAAACATTATCTTGGTTGTTGCAGCTCAGCTAGTTTTAAAATTTTTCACAAAACGACGTCTGTATGATGTTGGTTATTTGTTGCTCCTGTGTGGGACCTAGGACTGGACCATCCCACTCTGCCCTCCTGCTTACCTCTGTCACTCTTTTAGCTCTTTGAGTCTATTTCAGACATTCCTAAAGACCTTGTCTGACACTGCTGATACTCATCTTAGGTAATTCATTATTGCCACTTTATTTTATTCCTTCAAATAGCCATATTTTTCCTGGGTTGGCTGGAGTTTTGTTTCGGTTTTGATATGCTTTTATGTTGTTGAAAGTTGGGCATTTGAGAAAGCATCTTTTGAGACCAGCTATTTTCTAGGAAAGACCTTTACTAATGTGCAAGGTGTGTTCTGACCTCCTCGGTTTCCTAATGGTGAGGGCTTAAGGTCATCCCAGAATATTCTGAGCATGTGTCTTGCCTGGGCCTACGTATGTGTTTTTTTTTTTTTTTTAATTCCTTCATACACAAAGATGCTTTTAAGTGTCTGAATCTCCCAAAGACTATCACTCTAGCTTTATGGGGACATAGGTGTTCTCTTGTGTTACTTCACACACAATCTTCTCCCCAGCCTTCTGTGGGTCTGTAGTTCCCCTGAAGCTCCCACGAGGCCTGCTGCAGCTTCCTATTGGGTTTCCTCATTGTGTCCCCAAGTCAGAGCAGACACCGGTCCCTCTGGCGGCCCCCAAGCAGGGTAGAGTAGCACAAATAAAGTTAGCTCAGCTCTGCTTTGCCTGCTTTGAAGTAGGGAATTGGGAGGTGGGTTTCTGCATCCTTCAAATGGGACCTTACCATAAGTAAAAATGCCACTATGTTTAAAAGTAGCTGCATATGAGAAGGGGGGAAAGCCTACACAGCCTCAGGTCAAGACACATGCTCAGAAGAGACCCAAGAAGACCTTAAACCGTCACTCGGGGCTACTCCCAAATTTCCTCCCATTTTAAACATGTATTTTTTTTTCTATTGGACCATCCCTTGTTTGCTGTAGATCTTTGTTTTTCAGCTAGCCTCTAGTTTTTAACATTTCCCCTGGGGAACAAGGGTTTGGAGCTCCTTCATTTACCACCTTGTTGATGTCACCCTCTCTGTTCCTAATTCTTTGTTCTTTATCCTTCCAGGAGGCAGGAATCAAAAGGAGATGACGACTTTTCATGAAGCAGGAATAAGGTGCCTTTCATTAGGGGAGCTTTCATGTTGGCAAATCAAGAGACATGTGAGCAAATTAACCAAAAATCAAGACTCTGTGATAAATATTCAAGGAAAGAGTTCTCAGCTCCCCGACCAGTGTGATTCCCCCTGTCAAGTTGGAGCAGGAATATGTATTCAGGCTTCTGTGGAGGACAGCTGTATAATGAATCTTATAGAGGATCATTCCAATATTATTGAAAATCAAGAATTTCTGGCCCAGAGAACTCCGAATTCTTGGAGTAAAATATATCTCAGCGAAATGCAGAATTATCAGAGAAGTTGTAAGCAGACTCCAATGAAAAACCAGTTATGTATATTTGCTCCGTATGTTAACATTTTCAGTTGTATTTCACACCACCACGATGATGATACAGTGCACAAAAGAGACAAAGCTCACAACAACAATTGTGATAAAGACATCTTAAAGGTGTCCCCTCTCTCCCAGCAGACCTACCACTGTAGCGAATGTGAAAAAGCCTTCAGTGATGGCCCCAGCCTTGAACTTCATCAGCAGGTACACTCTGGAAAGAAGTCCCCCCCTTACAGCACACATGAGAAGGACCCTGGTTATAGCTCAGCTATTCCTGTTCAACAAAGTGTTTATACAGGAAAAAAACGCTATTGGTGTCATGAGTGTGGGAAGGGTTTCAGTCAGAGCTCAAACCTGCAAACTCATCAGAGAGTCCACACAGGGGAGAAGCCCTATTCGTGCCTTGAGTGTGGTAAGAGCTTTAACCAGACCTCACATCTTTATGCCCATTTGCCTATTCACACAGGAGAGAAACCCTACAGATGTGAAAGTTGTGGGAAGGGCTTCAGTCGTAGCACGGATCTGAATATTCATTGCAGAGTTCACACTGGAGAGAAACCTTACAAGTGTGAGGTGTGTGGGAAGGGCTTCACTCAAAGGTCACATCTCCAGGCCCACGAGAGAATCCATACTGGAGAGAAACCATATAAATGTGGAGATTGTGGTAAACGCTTTAGTTGTAGCTCAAATCTTCATACCCATCAGAGAGTCCACACTGAAGAGAAACCCTACAAGTGTGATGAGTGTGGGAAGTGTTTCAGTTTGAGCTTTAATCTTCATAGTCATCAACGAGTCCATACAGGAGAGAAACCATACAAGTGTGAAGAGTGTGGGAAGGGTTTTAGTTCAGCCTCAAGTTTCCAGAGCCATCAGAGAGTTCACACAGGAGAGAAACCATTTCGATGCAACGTGTGTGGTAAAGGCTTCAGTCAAAGCTCGTATTTTCAAGCCCATCAGAGGGTCCACACTGGAGAAAAACCATACAAATGTGAGGTGTGTGGGAAGCGCTTCAATTGGAGCTTGAATCTTCACAATCATCAGAGGGTCCACACAGGAGAGAAACCTTATAAATGTGAAGAGTGTGGGAAGGGCTTTAGTCAGGCCTCAAATCTTCAAGCTCATCAGAGTGTCCATACTGGGGAGAAGCCATTCAAATGTGATGCATGTCAGAAGCGATTCAGCCAGGCCTCACATCTTCAAGCCCATCAGAGAGTCCACACCGGAGAGAAACCATATAAATGTGATACATGTGGTAAGGCCTTCAGCCAGAGGTCAAATCTTCAAGTCCATCAGATAATTCACACTGGAGAGAAACCGTTTAAATGTGAGGAGTGTGGGAAAGAATTTAGTTGGAGTGCTGGGCTCAGTGCTCATCAGAGAGTTCACACAGGAGAGAAACCATATACATGTCAGCAGTGTGGTAAGGGCTTCAGTCAGGCCTCACATTTCCACACACATCAGAGGGTCCACACTGGAGAAAGGCCATACATATGTGATGTCTGTTGTAAAGGCTTCAGCCAGAGATCACATCTTGTCTATCATCAGAGAGTCCACACTGGAGGAAATCTATAGATGTGAGGTGTGATGTCATCTTTGTTAGAGTTCACGCCCTCATCTCTATTGGAAGATCAATGCTGGTAATTGTGGAATGTTCCTTCCAAACTCAGAAGCTTCAAGGAATCTTCACATGCAAATCAGCTCTGCAAAATGCTGTTTTAAGGACTCGTTGGAGATAAATTCTTTGCAAACATCACATTTAATAGATGAGAGAAAACCTATAAATACAATCAGTGTTTATACGAGAGTTCTGAATGTCCCAGTTTTCAAGATGCAACACAAAAGAATTTCAAAGTTCATCTGAATTTACCCAGGAAAGAAGCCTTATAAATGAAGACTAGGGGGGCAGGACTTTAATGAAGTATAATGATGGACAAATAAAATTAATGGCAACAGCAATGTAACCTCCATGTAGGGAGGGAGGTTTTTCACTACTTTATCTCTACCATGTAGAAGTGTGCTTGGCTCATAATAGATGCCCAGCAATTACTGAACAAAGTGAGAAAATCTAGGATAAATATTTGAAAATTCTACTCCCCTACCCTGATTTCATAACAACATACTCAAAGGGAACCCTGCTAGTAGCCTTAATGAGATTAATTTCTGGAAACGTTCAAGTACAGAAAATCATGCCATGCTGCCATCCATAGTAATGCAAATTTGGATGAATTTGTGAATGGCCCCCATCCTCCATCTGGCCCTGGTTTGTTGTAGTCAGGACATGTGTACAGTGTAATATTTAGTATCATTAGTTTGTATTTTATAGACTAAGAAAATACTGTTTTTAATCTAATAATATGATACAACAATTTATATGCTTGGAAATTTTGGATCCTAATACGTTAAGGTAGGATTTCACTGTAACTCTTTGAAAGTTTAAAAGTAGTTATTAATGACAAGTTTTTTAGTAAACTTGAATTGTTAGTAATTGGTTTCTTGTCATTATTTCTCTTCAGGCTTAGATCAGATTGCCTTCTCTGTGTACAATCCCGCAGTACAGACCTCTATAGGCAGGGGCTTTGGCAGATTTCAAGGACATTAGTTTTGTCACACCCCAAGTGGAGGGTGGAGCAAGAAACCCGTTGAATTCTTACTGAAATTTCATTAAATATAACAGTTTAGATGGATTACCATTTATACAGCATTCTGTGTTCAACACCTCTTGTCAGGAATGGACAACATGAGTTGGTCAATGTATACCAAGATACTCCTTGACCTGGCAATGTTAGCACTAGATGCTTTGCTCAGGAGATTTATTATAGCTTAAATGAGTGTGTACACAAGGATGTTTGTGCTGATTTTTTTAAAAATATATTAGCCAAATATTGGAAGAGCTATGTTCTAATACATAGCTGCACACAGACCTGGATCTGTAAGGACAGGCAGAGGAAACTAGGTTAGAGCCTTCCTGGTATGTGTGGCCCAAATAATAACATGTATACCTACAGATGTACTTATATTCACAGAAGTAATATGTAGAGGGACTTTCACTGACATGCTACCCCGTTTACTCTGGCAGAGAGGCTTAGAATGGTTTTAGCTTTTTGAAAAATTATTCAGTTACCATTATTACTGTTTACAAAAACAGTGAAACTATGAGACAAAATTACATGAATAAATGAATATTCCTTAAAGCTAACATATGGCTTTATCTCATCATAGGGCTTGGAGATCTGATACGCATGAAAGGATGTTCATCGTTTCCGTAATAGCACACTTTGCATTCATCAGTTGAATCAACAAAACAATTTGTTTATCCATTCAGTGGAATACTATGCAGAATCCAATGAAAAAAATTTACGGTTACTAACCTTGGTATGCATAGAAAAGTGGCCAGAGACATAGCGCTTTGTAGGAGATATATAATAAATCTGTAATGCCCTCTTTAAAGGTAACCAGATCGTATTTGTACCTATAAGTCTTTTTTGATTTGTATATAGGATAATCTTATATGTATGAATATGACCTGATTACTTTAAAAATTTACTATCATACCTTTTAAACTTGTAATGTTTCAAGAGTGTCTTAAAGCCTTTATTTTCAGTTTATTCTAAACTTTCAGAAAAAATGCAACCAAGAATTCCTATATATCCTTAGGGTGTGTACTGTGATTACAGTCTGACCAGATCATTCAGATGTCTAGCACCTGAGCTGAGAGAACCCAAACAGCTTTTGTTACTCAGGTATGTCTTCCATCTCTGTGGCCCCTTCAGCTTGATGGCTTCATTCTGACTGGATGCTATGTGGAGCTTCAGAGTATCCCAAGAAAAATCAGCAGAAGTACTGTGGCCATGTCTAATCTACCCTTAGAGGTTACAATGTTATAATTTGAGGAAACGGTCGCAGAAACCTAACCAGGATCAAGGAGAGGGAGTGTCAAGGAATTTGCAAACATATTTGAAGACTACTATACTTTGCTATATCTTCTAATCTATAGCTTATTCAAATTCCATTTATCCCATAATATGTTTGGATCCTGGAATAAAAAGAAAAATTGATACAATCTTTTTTAAATTTTTTAAAATTTATTTATTCATGAGAGACAGAGAGAGGCAGAGACACAGGCAGTGGGAGAAGCAGACTCCATGCAGGGAGCCTGAAGTGGGACTCTATCCCGGGACTCCAAGATCACACCCTGAGCTGAAGGCAGATGCTTAACTGCTGAGCCACCTAGGTGTCCCAAAAATTGATATAATCCTTTTTTTTTTAAGATTTTATTTATTTATTCACGAGAGACAGAGAGAAGCAGAGACAGAGGCAGTGGGAGAAGCAGATTCCATGCAGGGAGCCCAATGTGGGACTCGACCCTGGGCTGAAGGCGGCGCTAAACCGCTGAGCCACCCAGGCTGCCCGGATATAATAAGACAGATCATTCCCTGCATTAAGTTGTCATGTTTCTGTAGTCTTTAAATCTGGATCAGTTCCATAGCCTTTCTCTGTCTTTCATGAAATTGGTATCTTTGAAAGGTATGGGGTATTTTGTAGACTATCCCTAAATTTGGGCTTGATTCCTTATGATTAGATTCAAATTAGCATGGCAGGAGTATTCCACGAATGACATATAGTTCAGTGCATTACAACAGAAAACCTATTTGTTTTATATCAGTGAAATTTTTGATACCTTGGGTAACCTGAAGACTTCAAAGTTTCTCTACAGTAAAGTTGTTATTTTGCCCTTGAGATTAATAACCAATTTGTGTGTTGGGGGGGATTTTTTATGTAATAACTACATTATCTTTCACCTACTAGTTTTGGTGTTTATGGATATTTTTGTCTGAATCAATTATTACTATGATGATTGCAAAGTGATGGCTTTCTTGGTCCATCATTCCTCTTACATTTAGTACTTAGCGTTCTATCCTTAGAGGAGCTTTCCCTTCTCCCCTAAGTCTCTTTTCTCTATGAATGATCAGTATGAATGCTTGTTTTCTGATATAATATCTTGGGTTTATCTTGTGTGTTGCCTACTGCAGCCACAGATTCTACAGAGGCCAGATTCCTTTGAGTGGAATGGTACTTAGACACCACGATCTGGGTTCTAGGTGTTATCATTATTGGGATATCAGTCCTTCATGTAGATGTATGTGTAAAATGCAGATACCTTCAACTTCAAATAAGTAGTTCTAGTTTTTCCCTGTCCCATGTTAACTTCTTTTCCAGGGATCCCTGGGTGGCGCAGCGGTTTGGCGCCTGCCTTTGGCCCAGGGCGCGATCCTGGAGACCCGAGATCGAATCCCACATCAGGCTTCCGGTGCATGGAGCCTGCTTCTCCCTCTACCTATGTCTCTGCCTCTCTCTCTCTCTCTCTCTGACTATCATAAATTAAAAAAATTAAAAAAAAAACTTCTTTTCCAGAAAATTGGCTCCCACTATCATCAGTCTGTTTACTGATTTGTTCAGTCCTCTAATACACAGCAGATAGTTTGGAGTTGCTCCAGAAGAGCATCATAAAAACCAAGCCTGATTGTGTTCAGGATTTGTTTACAGGTCTTTTACTCTTTAGACCAAGTATGTACAAAGTACTTTGTTTTAAAACTTACTTTGCCTATTTCCTTTTTTATCTCCATTCAATCCAGTTATATTCTTCATGTGAGATGAAGTTAGATTCTTTTCTTTATGTTTATATTCCTTTCAGGTCCTCCTCTTCCCATCTTGCGATTTATAAAAATTGGGAAGTGAATTAAATTCAGATGAAACTCCAGTTCCATAAGTACACTAATATATTTTTTATTTGACTTCCTTTTTATTTGACTTCCTTTTATTTAGACATATGGTTAGACAGGTTTATTAAAATTTTCTAATTCCTTAGAAGTATGCAATAAGTACTCCTCATTTTTCATGAAATTAATCTTTAATGACTGTTACATTCTTTTGGGTACATAGGTGATGGAAATGAGATTATAATGCATGGTGGAATTGGGTGGATTCACAAAAGTTGGATGGCTTGTAAATGGTTATTTCTTGTTTTTTTCCTTACATTTGAAAAGTGCCAGGATTGGAATTTATATATCTTTTATATGTATAAATGAAAAGAGATAAAGAGTTCTTGAATATAGACTTTTAAGGTCAGAGGAAGTTTACCAAACTCTGTCCAAGCCTCAGAGCAACTATCAACTGCAATTTACTGGGAAAAAATTCTACCTGTAAATGAGGCATACTTTAATAACTATTATGAAAGTTCAATAATAACTATTAAGTAAATTGTCCGTCCACCAAGGACTCTAACTCTTCCAAATGGACTCCTCCTTTCTCTCATTCTCCTTGTAAGTTACATGCTCGTACATAGGAAGGGAAAATGAACAAGGATATCTACCTTAACTATTATCTCCCTCTCCCCTCCCTCATTAATTTGCACAAACTACTTACTGTTCCTTCATGCAGCCATCTACCAATCTCATTCTTTCTTGCTCCTTGATATTTATCTCCAGAACCAGTTTTGCTACCCTGTCACTACTCTTATCAGACTACTTGCAGATTATTATATCTACTTCCAAAACCCTGGTCTCTCAGTTCTTGACTGGTATGCCACCAATCGTCTTGTCTTCCATATCACTTCAACCCCTGACCCCAAAGATAACATCTTACCAGCAAGAAAGTAAATGGAAACCCCTCTGTATTTTCAGGTTCAGACATTCCACTCTAATCACCAACTCTTGTTTTACAAGCTTATATCTTCTTTTTCTTATTTTAATAACTATTGGGACTGACAATGACCTAAAATCCATTATTCCTACTCTCCTTTAATACACTCTTACCTTACTCCCTCCCATATCTGGAAAGGAGAGCAGATTTCTATTTACATCCCATTGCCCAAAACTGTCTCATGTCAACCTATAACAGGAAAAAATACTTCAAGAGTATTTACATTTCCCAGTCTATAGAAGAAGCAAAGAAGAGCAAATTGGGTTAGGAATGTATGGTAGATGAAGCAGTCTATAATATGTGGTCCAAATAGGCTGTGACTTAAGTGCATTTTTGCACACTAGTTCCAACCCCAACTTTTATCTTGCACTTAACAAATTTGCAGTCTGCTCAGAAAAAGGTTATTATAATAATGCCAATGGGATTTTTTAAAAAAACAATTAGACTTTTGAGATTGCTAAATTGCTAGAATACATTATCTGTGCAACATTTCAACTCATTTCATGAGTTGTCATGATGTAGTTGGAAAACATTGCCTTAGAGGTGCATTGCTTAGTAGTGTAGATATACACAAACAAGTAACCATATATGAATTATATGGTAAGAACAATAGAAGCATTTTAAATGTACTGACCAAGTAGTTCCTACTGCACCCAAACTCCAGCAGATAACCAATATAATTCTAGACCAAATATTAAAA